ATCTGCATGTCTTTGGACTGTGGGCGGAAGCCAGAGTACCCAAAGAAAACCCAGGCAGACACAGAGAAAGCATGCAAACACCACACAGAAAGGCACCAGCCTGAGCAGGATTCGAACCAGGAACCCTATTACAATGAGGCCACGTGCTAACCGGCCTAGAATTTGTTACATTCAAAAGAAAATAGATTAAAAAGTAAAGTGATTGTTCTTATATCAACAATTCTACTTGAGCAGTTCAATGACTTCAAAATACACTGTTACTGAGGCGATCCAGGTAAGTTATTAAAGCAACTGCGGGTTCCCTGCTTGAGCACAATCTCACAGCGGGTGGCTGTCTGCCCCTTCATACAAAAGCTATTGTATAGTCTGATGGGTGAGTGCCTAAAGCGTTTCCTGTTGCACCTTGGGGGTAAAAGCCAGAGGCTGGAGGTGCTCTGTTGACGACATCAGCTCACCGTTGAGAGGATGGCTGGTTTTGTGTAGGACAGATTTTGGTTTATTCTGCGCTCTCCATTCTGCTTTTGCCTTCAGGCTGTAGCAGCAAGTTTCTTTTTTTTTCTTCTCCAGACCAGTTTTGTTTATTCTGTTTCCCTCCTTTATCCCTGTGCCGCCTCCTTTTTCAGTAGTTAACGAACATCACACTGGTCACCACTGATTCAATAGTTTTTTTAGACACGTCTGGAGATTTAGTTGCATGTTCAAATGGGTACTTGTGAGACTGCACCATGTCTTCCATCTCACTTCAATGCTGAGGGGTGTCTGTATCTTCTCCTTTCTGAAGTCAACTACTCCTTTCCTCACCTCGCCGACCCCAGGATGCAGAGAGAGACATCAAAAGAGAAGGTACACCGTGTGCTGAGTGAGAGCTAAAAGACATTCAGAGTTCCCCACCATACCACAGAACACATTTTCTGGTCCTCCCTCTTACAAGAGAAGGAAAAACTGCATCTTTTGACTTTTGCACAGGTGTGTCCTGAGAACTTTAACAGAAAAACTTAACTGGAATAACATGTCTATGAAACATTTGTTAGATGCCTTCATGATACACAGTGGTACATGAGCTGTAAAGTTATGGACTTCTAGCTGTATGTTGCTTATTCCACCTAGCCATCACCTATGTGTTTCTATGGCAAAATTCTGTAGTCATACTATACATGCAGCACTGTATGCTGTGATTCTATCTGCTGGAGGATCATGCAATGTAATTGTCCAACGCCAGCAGCCCAGGATGAATCTTGGAGAGGATTTGCTGCAGGATCACCAGCCACTCAGAACAACTGTCCTTCATTTTAGACTGTTGCCCGGGGGCTTGGATATATTTGTACGAGCTCACACGAGCATGCCTACGTCATGAGACTGAACATACAGTACTTGGAAACACGCATGCATGCACACATACACTCGCTCATTGGTGGATATTTAAGTCAGGAAGAGAACTCGGATGTTCTGCGGAAGCAACGATTTCCGAGGAGACATTTCAACTCAGTCTCCCCACAAGGTCACAGCCTGCAGGCAGCGGCAGTAGCAGCAATAAAGGCTCTCCATCTCCCAGCCCCATTTAACTGACTGATGCTTTTTGACATGTCGGAGCAATCGAGCCAGTTAGCCTCTGGGAGGCTTCAATTAGGACCAGGACTTAATGCAGCAGAGAACTTTGCAAAGCACTGATACGAGGTTAAGGCCACACTCAAATCAATAAGGAGAACATGGTTAAAGACAGCCACACTGCACCCCATGCTCACAGAACAACTGTGTAAGGGTGTAAGTAGATTGTGTGAGAGGTTATGGAGCAGTTTTCTGTTTCTAGCAGATTTGTATCAGATGTGTATCAGAGTGAGGCTGAATAGTTCCCAGGTCATCTTCTGAGAAAACAGTTAAACCCTCATAGGCGGTTAGATCATTCTGAATAAAGTGGCAGGTGGAGGCAGATAGTCGTGTGTGACTGCTGGTGTCGAACACGTGTTTTGAATCTTAAAAAACACATAAATTGGAAACTGTTTCATCCAGATCCGTTACCTGTATAGTGCACCACACACACACACACACACCCACACTCACACACACTCACACACACACACACACACACACACACACACACACACACACCCAATATGATAATGAAATAAAGGAGCAGAGCTGTGAGTGACACGGCTGCCGCACTATTTCATGGCCCTCCCGACAGGTCCATTTCCTCGTAGGAGCCATGTGATTTGGCCGAGGCTCCTATATAACTGCCAGTGCCAACTTGCATCGGCCTGGCAAACCGGATTTATGGATAAGATGCGTGCACTTATACACACCCTCAGGGATCAGGCCCAGGCAAGAGCAATCAAACAGTCCAGGAGGGGCAGTGGTGGAAAATTTACTCAAGTAATGCACTTAAACACAGTTGAGGTACTTCACTTGAGTATTTCTATTCTATGCAACTTTATGCTTCCACTCTGCTATAACACCTGGACACATTTCTACATTTATTTGACAGTTTCAGTCAGTAGTTGCTTTTAAAATAAGTTTTTCTACAATGGATAATAAAACAAGATTCCAAAACACAACATATTGTTAACTCTTACAAAAAGCAGTTGAGGACACTCAGATGTCTGAGTAACTAAGAGCTCCACCTATTCCTTTTCAATCCTTATTTTCATGTCTGAAAACTAAACCGAGACTCTGTTACAATCTCTGAAACAGTCTATAGCCCCATTATTAATAAACCAGTTATGTAACCTTGTACTTTTCCCACAAATACATTTGTACTTTAAAGGTACAGTGCATAGAATTTAGGTACAGTATATAGAATTTAGTGATATCTTGTGGTGAAGTTGCATGTTGCAGCTGAATACCCCTCACTCCTCCCCTTCCAAACATGACAGAGAACCTGTGGTAGCTTCAGATGTCATAAAAACTCAAAAGGTGTTGAGTTTGTCTAGTCTGGACAACTGTAAAAAACATGGTGGCCTCCATAGAGAGGACCCCCTGGATGTAAATATAAAGTATTTAAATATAAAGGGCCCCTTCTAGGCTAAAGAAAACAACAATCCATACAATTTTAATGAACACATCTGTGAAAGCAACATGAGGACAATTTTATATTCAATTTGTACCAATAGATCCCTTTCACCTAAATCTTACACACTGAACCTTTAACTCAAGTAGACTTATCTTAAGGTCTTTTACTTGTAATGGATTATTTGTACATTTCTCTGTTTCTTCCACCACTGACGATGGAACTTACAAAGTGGAACATTATAAACTGAAGATGATGCATCTATTTTTTTGAAGCTTTCTGATTTTTGAAATCACACTGGTAATGATTTTTGTGAGGAATGCTAGTATTGCACTTCTTTCACATATTTGCATCAGCTTCAGTGAACTGCAAATATCAAACACACAAGTTTTGTTAGACTTCTTCTCAATTCCTGAGTACATATTACATTGCTAAAAACTTCTTTTCTCCTTTTTTTGTTGTTTCATCAAAGCAAAGTGAGTGGTATTCTGTGCCAGAAAGAGCCAGTTTGATTGAGGGGTGGAAAAACAACTTTGAGGCGGGCAGGGCCTTGAGGTTGGCTGTATATCATTTTCCCCCTCACAGTGCGAGTGCATCATTGTCTGGGCTGTAGCAGTCAGAAATGACAACAGAGGGTGACACTGAAAGGTCCCAGAGTTCAGCTGCCTGAAAATGTCACTGGGCTGCCTCTGACAGAATGCCACAGAGAGAGAGAGAGATAGAGCGACAGAGGGGGAGGGGATATAACAAAATGACAACCTGAGAGTGCTACAGATCGCACGCGCACGCGCGCGCACACACACACACACACACACACACACACACACACACACACACACAAACACAAACATACACAATTCTAAGCCGTCACCTTATAATTTGATGTACAGTTTGCAGTTTACTGATGGATTTTGTTACAGCATTTCTAGTGTCGTGACATCAGAACCCATTTTTGGTCCCATTTGATTTGGATTTTTATCAGCACAAGCAAGAATATCTTCGCTTACCTGCGCGTATAACACTCATAAAATAATAATACATATATTGCTTTTCTAGTTTAGTCTGCAGCATCTAAATACACAGCGCTTTTTCTGTCACACATCATTTACAAGCTGATGGAATAGCTATCAGGGGCATTGTGTTTGGTGTCTTGCCCAAGGACACTTCAAAATGTGGCCTGGAGGAGGAACTGGGAATTGAGCCACCGACCTTCCAGTTCATGGTTGATCTGCTCTGCCTCCTCAAACCACAGTTGCCCATCTCATTAATTGCAACCTTACTCTTTACTCTCATACCTGAGCTCTATAAATTTACTGCTGATTCAAACAGTTCCTATTGTTTACACATTAAACTAAAAGGGTGGCATTTATTCCAGAGCATCTATGGGAAATGTGACATTATTTTTCGCAATTTTCAGCAAATTTTTTCAGTGGATAATCTTTAGATACTGCAGGGAGTAAGGACCAGTCGACACGCCTCTGATTGACTCTCTAGCAGGATAACAAACTTTTCTGTTCCCTGCTGTTGTACTGAGAACTACCTGCGACGTGTGCAGCATGAAATCCAACCACATTTAGACCACTTGCTCTTCTGTTGTATTTCTGACAAAGTAGGTGGTGAAGGAGTAAAACCACACTCGCTATAACCATGACAACCACAAGCATCACCACTAAGAATGAAATGTTAAGGATTATATCCTCACCGGACACAATTCTCATACTTCATCTAACCTACTGTACATACAGAGTGAGTGTTTGGAACAAAATGTACTGAGGATGTGACAACCCCTCTCACAGCAGAGCATATTCCTATGAGTGTGAGCTGAAGGGAGTGTGTGTTCTGGCAGGAATTAAGGTGTGGATTCATCACAGCTTTCAATCCTCTGATATGTGACTAAGGGGAGGAGAGAGTAAGGCAGAAACGTCTCTCCTCATTAGACCCAACCGCCCCCTCCGCCACATCCCCTCTGCCACTGACAGAGAGACTCATATCCTACCTCCACCAATCGGCTCTTTCGCTATGGCTTCAGTCCATCCGCATTAGTGACTGTAGCTCTCCCCCTCAAGTCGGAATCACTGCATCCGCTTGATCCAATTGGCCACGCACGTCAGCATCACCTTGTGTGAACAGGGGAGATAAAGAAGAGTGGCTCACTGTCTGAAGTCTGGCCAAGTCCTGCAGCTTTGGTGTCACAACATTAATGTAAAGTACAATTCCTGCGGGTGTCAACTTATTGTTTCCTAATCTACCCATACTGTCAACCTCGTTTGTCTCATCTTTGCAGTTCCTTCTGACTCGCTATGCTAATAAGGCTGTAAAGAGCATGAAGGATAAGAGGTACCTGTAGGAAACAATTTAGAAAAATCAGGTTTTATTACGTCTTATTTTTGTGTTTCTGTTTGACTTTTGTAGCCATGACACCCAATTCTCAGATTATAGTTGATATGTGCTGTGCAGTGTTAGCCAATAGAAACGACGCAAATAAGGCCCATACTTTAATAAAATAGTGTTTTCTTCAAATATATTTAATTACACAACAATATATTCTCAGGCAAAAAAAATTTTTTAATTCTAATTCTTGGTCGAAGCTTTTATTTTGGAGGAACTTAATTATTATAATTTTTATGAATGAATTATTGCACAGTGAAATGAAAAATCACAAACACTCTCCCAAATCTGAAGCAGATGAACAGAATCAGTCGTTATTGGTTTCATAACCAGTGCTTTTCCTTTTGTAACATGTCAGAATGTCCTATATGCCGCACATGACACTGAAAAGTAGGCAGCAGGTACTGTATATGCTGCCATACGTCTACAGTTACATAAAAAGATCTCTCTCACAGATGTGGGCAGCTGTAAGTGTGTAATTACACCCACACAAAAACACATTCAGACACGCAGACTCACAGACCAAAGAGGATGGTTTCCCCGGTAACCAAAGGCCAGGAAAGTACTTGTATTGAGCGACAGTGTTTTAGTGCATATGAGCATCAAGCCGCTCCTGGTGAATTCATACTTTTTATTCAAAACCTTGTCATTTGACCCAACTAGAAATTATATTCTAAACATTTGTGAGAGAATAACAGTGAAAATCCTCCAAGACTCTTAAAATACAGAGCTCATTCCTCGAACAGCTTGGGTAGCTTCTTTTATGGATTACTGAGTCTGTGATAACAGTGCTTCCGCAGATGTTATCATCGCACTGCATTGCTAAGCAGATGACTGTTACAGCATTTGCAGAGTTTTTCGGATATCCATTTCCATAAAGGGCGTATTACAGCGAGAGTGTTGCGCAATCATTTTCACCCAAAAAGTGTTAATTGGAGGAGCTGTTGTTATCCTCCAGTCATAACTCTGGAGTAATTAGTAATATGTGCCAATACGAATTCCTGTCACAAGACTCATCATGATCATGTGACGGTTAAAAAATCATTAGCTATGAGGCTTGTGTCAAAGTGAGTGCGTGTGAGTGTGAGGTTGCAAGGAAATGAAGATTAGCATAGCTCGGATCTGGCGCAGGTTAATTTCAGACGATCAGGTTGGCCTTCACTTTTGTGAATGCATGTCCAATTAGTGGAGTGTTAATTTTCAAGATGCAATTTTCCCCCCCGTCACAGTTTTCGAAATGCGGCAGCTGAGCAGCAGTCATAAGCTGTCAATTCAATCAGGAGCTCTTAGTCAGTGTGTCTCGCAGGAATGCCTCCTGGGATCTTATACCTTATGGTGGTTGGTAGTTTTAAGGAGTGTAAAGAGGGAATGAATAAGTTCAGATCTTGTCAGTATGAGGATTTAAAGATAGCTTCACCCTGGAGATGTGTACCCTTCAAAAAAAGAAAAGTATATGAGCAATAAACAACCATATGTATCAAAGTCAAAAATTGTTATGGACGTCACTGTGTTCTTGCATAATTGCTGCTCGTGCATTATGCATTCAAGATCTTCAGCTCATAAGTGATGCTCTTTCATGAGACTGCCCTCCACAAACAAACGGGATATTCTATCACCTCCTCAACATCAGGTATTCTCTGCATCAAACCCCCGGCTTGTTCTATGTTAGCTTGAACATGCATTCATCAAAACATGCATAACAATATAGACATAAAACACTGGAGATTTGATTGTCGCCCCCCCCCCCCCAGATTAATATGCTTGTATCATTTCATTTGAAGTTATTTCAATGTGGATGCCGGTGAAACTGGAAAAGAAATCATGTGAGATAATTATGGCCAGTTTCTTAACCCTGTAACCCTGGGCATAAAAGTATACAGTCATGATAATACTGCTTATCACATTCAGAACCACAGACCATTAATATTTTGGAGTAATAAAATGTTGTTGTGCGTATTAGAGTCCTCTGCACATTACCTGAATTTCTATCAGTACGAAGGAAAACCAATTACATTATACTATACCATATAAAGTTCCATAATAAAGTTTTATTTTATCTGATAAAGCTCATCACGTCTGTACCCATAGAGCCACAGTAAGAAGTAGGACTGACATGTCACCTTATGATGAAAAGTAAATCACATTTCGTATGTGATCATTATAAGCCCAATGTGAGAAAAAGAAAAAAAAAACATGCACGTATTTCAAATGGAAGAACCAGTGAGGAGCAGCTTTGTACAGAGAACGAGTGCAGCGCTGGGAGTTGCAGTCGCTCCAGTAAGTGTGCCTCTCCTTGGGGTGAATGTCTTGATCAGTGAGAGGGGAGGAACAGGAGGCTGGGAAAACAGCTTGTAGAGCCACTATAATCAGCTCCGGCTTTGGCAGAGAGTGGCAGCGCTTTATTACTCGTCTATGTAAATGTATAATTGAGCGAGTCAATTCAGCCACTGGTGAGCTACACTGTACGCTGAACACTAGCAAGACGCAGATGAATTGATTTGGACTGATATCTCAACAACTGCCGGTGAAGTGACAGGCATGGTTCAGGATGATGGGATTCGGAACGTTACAGGCAGGTTTGAGAGAGAGAAGAGTTCAGCTAAAGATTCTAGTAGAACGTCTTGTGGACTGATGAGATCAATTCATTTCTAACAAAGTGATGAAAATGTTATTTATTTTAAGTTACTAGCACAAAATGAGGTGCTAAACACGTCTAGATGTCAATAACAGGAAATAAAAGCTTTCTGAACTCTTGTTTTATATTCATCTTTTGATCTTACACCCAAATGTCTACAGTGTTCAGCAAGAACAAAGAAATCAGACTTATCATTCCATTTGTTTTTGTGGAACTGCAAATTTTCAAACACCCTGGAAATGGTGGCTAATACTGCACTTGGATTCCCAGGGGATGGCATTAAATGAACGGTGAGATCAAACATTTCCTGCACTCTCAAATAGATGCCATTCCACTCGAGTCCACTTGATCTCTGAAGTAAAAAGCCATGTGTTGCAATTATTTCTGATTTAATTTATTTTATTAAAACAAGACCTGGAGGTTGGGAGGGAAATCAGCATACTAGTGTTTATCCTAGCTTTCAATCTGGAAGTCAAATTTTCAGATAATTAAAATGAACCTTTGAGGTGCAATATGACATTAAGCAATATAGCTCAAGCTCATTAGGAGTAAACTGTGTGAGACTGGTGGCTGACTTGTGGCAAATACAATCTGATATTAGTGTTCACAGTTTGCAACTGATGCATGAAGAAAAAGCCCCAGTACCCCAGGATACCTTACCCTCACCATAAACACCGAGCACCTCAACATTATGGAAAGAGGAACAGAAGGGGTTTCATTTCCACTGTGCTTTCTGCATCATTAACAATGGTGTTGATTAATGGTTTACATCCACCCAAAGCTCCACCTGTGAGGATCGCAATAAACATGATCATTTGTCGGCCCACATCCGCCTTCGACGCACAGACACAAATACGAAGAAGGGGAGTGAAGGCACATGGGGGCTCATTTTGCCTTGCACCTGTGCTACAGTCACCACTTGTGTAAATACCATGACTTTCTAATCAGTGTGGAAGGGGCACACTGTGGGCATCTTCGATTGGGGAAATAGCCTCGCATCAGTTCTCCCATTTTCAGCTGACCTCTTTGCTGTTTGCAACCCACCCATGTAATCCATCATTGAGACATTAATTATACACTAAGCTCTTCCAGGACAAGGACTCTAATGAAGGGCCTGTCAACGCAGGCCTTTCCCCCAAAACAGTCATGGAGGAAGGAATACTTGTGCTGAGCCCCCACTTTAGATCTTATCTGAACTGAACTGAAAACAGTTCAACTGCATTTTCAGTTCTTGCATTTGCTCAGCGCAAACCTGGAAATGCAAACTGTAATAAATACACATGGGCCACTGAGGGTCGAGAAACTAAGCAGCAATGCTACCAGACTTAATTCACGTTCTTGAGGCAGTTTTTTGGCACATCAAAAGTTTGTGAAGCAGTGAGGAGTATAAGCTTTGTGCTGTAACGGCACTAAAATTACATCTATAACTGCACAATCCACTTCAAGACTAGACAGCTGTTGTTTACTATAATATCCCTCCTTCAAATGCTATTCTCATCGTTTTGCTGCCTACTGCTTACAAATGACAGTCAATCTTAAACATATTTTCAGAGTGCAACCCACAAAATGTCCCATATTATGGCAGGGCGTGACATAGATAAAAAACAATTTTACTAGACAAAAGTCTGTGGTAATTAGCCTTGGTGCAGATGTCTATACTACAGAAAGTAGTTTCTTACAAAGCTAGAGGTTTACTGTAAATTAGCACACTTAAGATATTCCAATGATGATTACGATACAAAATGGAAAGAACTAGCACTAAGTCAACTGGATACTCCCATTCAATACATGTTCGGTCATTAAACTTTGTGAGTATGCATTCAGATAAATTAAGTCATTGGAAAATGGTAAAAATTTAAAGCTGGAGATAAATGCCTGGCTGTTTAGAAGAGTGGCATATACTGGAGACTTTAAACCTGGGACTACTGGGAACCCTTAACACAAAGCTAGAGACTGATAACGTTTGGGCTGTGTTGTATTAGCCCAGGTGACTTGTCTGTTCAGTGCTCCAGTGGACTTGTGTTCCACAAAAACAAAACATTATAAAAACAAAGCATTAAAAATATAATTGTTGTCTTTAACACTTGGCTGACA